AGAGTTGTGAAACTCAGTCTTTGCATCCTCCATCCAATTTGTCTGCAGAAAGTACTGTTAATCCGGTACCACCAGTTTTCGTCTGTACCCATTATTTAAATTGGAGCATCTTCAAAAGCGAATTCTGCAACTAAATCTATCCACTACTGATCTGTGATAAACTTACCGATACTGAAAGTCAATCGGTAATTCCATTTATCAATAGTCAACTACGACTTTAACTAAACAAAAGTCAACAAACTACGACATTTCCATACATACCATGCACCTCATCTTTATAAAGGTGTTTGGTCTCACCATCTTGTCTTTGACACATCCTGCTTCTTTAAAACAAGTTAATGACAATCCAACTTCTTTGTCTAACTTCAAAAGAATATGAAATCCTTCCAGCTTCTACATAAATTATCAATTTCCTAGCAACAGCTAATTGTTCCAAATTGTGACCTAAAAAAAATTTAAAAAAAATTTCATATTATTTATGCAAGTGAATAAGACTTAGTTTCCTCCTCTATATGCAACACCAGCAACTCCTCCTAATGACACACCCTCACGAATAAAATTCTTGATTAAGAATAGACTGATGAATATTTATTCAGTCTACTATCCTCAATCGGTGTCATTCTAATAAGTACCTAAACCCGTACTAAATCCTCCTTTCGACTTAGCAACAATTTTCAGAATTTTTCAAGAAGATGTTCAGCAAATCTGGCACCTCAGATAAATCATCGTGGCGTTACAGTGATCTTTATTTACTACCATCTCACGCATCCCAAAATATTAACAACCACCATTATCATGGCATTGTAATATGACACAAATCCATACTTAGAGTAAAGTAAATCAAACTAATCATACTAGATTATTTGACTCACAGTGATGGTTTAACTATCCCATCCCAAACAATATACTAGAATGACGCATGTCCAGGTCTAATAGATTGGCTAGAATTATGTGTATCTACCATATCCTACGACCGCATGCTCACAAATCTAGCGTAAATAACGCTATTACTCCATATTATTAAAAACAATAGTTGGCTGATCACATACTTGTGTCCCCAACTAAACCATATACCATTAACCGAAATAATCAACGAAAATAAAACACGTATGACAAACACACTAACACAAAATATACTCCTACTTAGGATATCGCTCTTTCTAAAAAAGAAAGTCCCATTTGAAATCAACACTACCAAATTGTTTTACAATTTCCTTTTATAGTTTCGTAAATAATCATCCAACCTCGAAACATATCATTTAAAACATAGCTTAAAAACACAAATGTTTACCTAAGCAAATACTAAGGGCTTAACCATCATCCTTCTTATATGTGGAATGTAAACTGTCTAACTTGACTTTTTAAAGTGAATTAGAACGTCACAACATAATACCAATGCCCTCTTGTATGTGATTTAAAAATTATGTATTTCATTCTAATAAGAACACATCCGATCCCCAAACTTCTGAACAATACTTCTTATATACCTCTTTTAGAGATAATAAGAAAGCTTAATTATTTGTAGATTGATCAACCCCAATTCTACTAATAACATTCGTTATACTACTAGCAATTCAGATCACCTCGCGCGATCATCCATCTTCAAGATTTAGTACCCTCTCTATTGGATGCATATAAATCTCCTCCATTAGGATCATCTTCTGCTCCTACTCCTCGCTTGTCTCCTTTTTTAGATCAATTGAAGTCGTGTTGGCCCCGATATGCGGTGACCTATCATGTACACCTAAATCCTTCATTGGCTTATACTTTTAAAGTAACGCCAAACGAACCTAAACCATCGATCCTTAACTCTGCCTTTTGGCAACGAAATCAATAACGTATTCCTTTACTCCTTTGGGCCTTTATCGCTTTCGCCTTGAACCCATCCTTTTCCTAGTGCCAACCATTCTATGACTACAGAATATAATTGACATCAGCTTCTCCTAACAAACCGTAAATAGAGTACAACGAATCCTAATACGGGCTCTAAGTTTTAAGAGACGCAACGCGGAAGTCACATAACGAAAGACACTCCTAAGGACACTTGAACCTGGAGTGCTCTGATACCAACTGTAATACCCCCCAGATTTTCGAATGCGGGTTGGCCAGGCCCACGCCCGAATACCCAAGGATATCAAAACAAATTGATGATAAACAAACACAGAGTACAAAAGAATAAAGAAGAATAAATAAAATGCTGACAAGAAACTAAAATGATAATCTAATAATAAACCTCAGAATATATTTCCATTAGTTAATAAACTCTTCTGATACAGCTGATCCTCCAAAATACAACTCGGGAATCCATACTGTGTGGACCCCAAGAAAATCCAAACTAAATAAATGACAGCAATAACTGTCTAAATCAGGAAATTAAATCATAAAGGAACTCCTATGTAGCATCGGAAGAATGAAGTAGACTGATCCCTGCTCAGCACGAACAACCTCTACTCCTGACGAACACCTGAAAAATAATGGTGGGTCAGGCCCACAAACAAGTTCTACTCTACTACAATCCAAGCAGAGATCCGATACACGTATACATCCTAGTCAATCCAACAGTAACTAGTAATCTACATATATATATATATACACACACTAAAGGAACCTCACTAGACTATAGGGTTGTATCAACCTGAATAGTAGGCAACATGCAAAACGCACATATAGTGGGTATGAATACCTAGACCTACCAGGGTACACAACTACACTATATCTAGTTACACATCCCTGGCGATATACGCACCCTAACCACTGATCCTGAGACTCAAGCTCATATCATGGCACCATACTTATATATATATAATCTAGTAACCATCCTATCGTGTATAAATTAATCCTCCATAAGTCATTCAACTTGTTCAGCTGACCTGACTTGAATATAAGTAGGACTCAACATTTTAGTTAATCCATTCCCTTATATAATAAATTAATCATCCATAAGTCATTCAACTTGTTCAGCTGACCTGACTTGAATATAAGTAGGACTTAACATTTTAGTTAATCCATTCTCTTATATAAAATAGGTAGGACTTAACTGATAAGTTAATCCGTTCCTAGAATGCCACCGTCCCATACCGGTGCATTAAATCACACAATTCAACAATTGATGTAACGATTAAGGAAATACATCAAACAATCCAGAAATAACTATGATAATATGATATCAAGTTATCACAAAATAGGAATGACTTATTATTTATTTAAGTTTCCTATATCATATGTCCTACATAAACTGAATCTTATACATATGATGATATTTTATTATACCGTCAAATAAGCATTCTCCATATCCAATTCATCCTACACATTTAATCTCAATTGCTAAAACATATTAAAAGATTAAATTCATTCGTTTGTTTAAAACATTCAAATAGCAAACATCATTATGATTGAGTCTATTTAAATTTATTTAAACTCAAACCTAGTTTCTATTTAATATTCAGGAATCCTAGACATGTTTTTACGTTCCATCGTTCCACAGATATGAAAAATACATAATTTAAACATGTAAAAATTCACACTGGACATCAAATTAAAATCATGCATTTATCAATTCATAACACAAGAACAGATATGAACCAAATTCATAAAACCTATGTTCTAATCCAATTAAACGTGCATAATTATTTAATTTTATGTGTTTAATAAATCCTGAAATTTCCTAGGCATGTACAGAAACACGAATCAAAGGGAAAGAGATAGAAGAAGAACTTGCCTTAAACTTTCGAATCGAAAGTTAAACTTCTTCTTCATTGATCTTCTCTCTACAGGGTTTTTTCCTCCTTCCTTCCTCTTTCTCCTTCTCTCTCTAACTCTTTCTCTATAGAATATATTAGATGATATATTTTCACTCCTTTTTCAACATATAGTTGTGTATTTATAGGCTAAATAATAACCCTATTCCTTTTCCCAATCCAAGTCAACTTAATAAAGAAAAATAAAAAATAAAAATATTAAAAAGGTAACTTAAAATATGTTACGTATATAATCTATGTATATCCTTATTAATTAAATAAAATATATATATTAGATTATTTATTAATACTAAAGTTACCATAATATTAAAAGATAACTTAAAACATGTTACATATATAATCTATCTATATCCTCATTAAATAAATAAAATATATACATCAGATTATTTATTTGTACTAAAGTTACCATAATATTAAAAAGTAACTTAAAACATGTTACGTATATAATCTATATGTATCTTCATTAAATAAATAAAATATATGCATCAGATTATTTATTTATACTAAAGTTATCATAATATTAAAAAGGTAACTTAAAACATGTTACATATAAAATATATGTATATCCTTATTATATAAATATATAAAATATATACATCAGATTATTTATTAATACTAAAGTTACTATAATATTAATAAATTACTTTCCTTTTTATATATATGTATATACATATATATCTATATATATACATATACAACTATCCATGGGTAATTATCCATACCCATCCAACTTCCTATCCAAGTAGTCCATGGGACCCAATTAGTTAGCCCATTACCACTAATCATAACCATAAAATAAAATAAAATAAAACATTTAATCATTTAATTTACAATTAATTATAATTAATCAAATACATCATTTAAGCACCCAATCTAATTAAACAAATAATACAAATAACACATAGACAAAATACAAATAACACATACATAAGTAGCTAATTAATCAAGTAACACTTAATTCAATTAAACACATAAACAATTAGTCAAATAATCAATTAAACAATTAAAAAAATACAATAAAAATAAATAAATAAATACTGAGGCTATCCTTTTTATAATTAGGGGTATTACAAGTGACAAAGTTAAAACTTCCATTGCAAGTACAAAAAGTTGGGGGGAAATGGGATCACTTTATCTAACCCCCCTTTTACCTTTGAAAAACCGACAAAGCTGTCCATTAAGTGAGATGGTATATGAAGGTGTGGTTATATACTGTGAAATCCAATGTATAAATTGTTGTAGGAAAACAAAGAGTTGCAGAGTATCAAGGATAAATTGCCAATGGATGGTATCAAATGCCTTTCTAAGGTCAATTTTGAGGGTACAGGAAGGAGGATGTGATGATTTATGATAGCCATTTAGCAATTCATAAGCAAGAAGGATGTTATCTGTGATGTGTCTTTATTTTACAAAAGCAGTCTGGGTAGTGCTTATGATTGAAGGTAAGACAAGACTTAGTTTGTTGGCAATGAGTTTAGAAATGGCTTTGTAGATGAGGTTGTAGCAGGATATTGGCCTATAGTTATTGACAGTGGTGGGATTAGGGACTTTGGGAATAAGTCCAATGTAAGAGCAATTGATTTCAGCAAGCATTCTTCCTGAGATAAAAAAATCCTTGATTGCAGCTGTGATTTCTTAGCCAATGATAGGCCAAGTATGAGAGAAAAAACATGAGTTAAAGCCATCAAGACCAGGGCTTTTATAAGGATTAATGGATAGAATGCTTTGCTGGATTTCCAAATCTGTGAGTATGTCAGTGAGTGGAGGGATGAGGTTGGCAGGAACGGATTTGGAAATAAGATTGGAAAAGGATGACATACCTGGATAGTGATTGTAGCTCTGTCCCAGCAAGTTTTGGAAGTGATTAAGGAATGTATTCTGAAGATCAATCCCCTGTAGCACCTCTCCATTGTGGTCCTCAATTGAGTTAATCTTTCTTTTGTTAACCTTTGAAGAGAAGCACTTCATAAAGTAAGCTGTGTTCTGATCCCCCACTCTTAACCAATGAACCTGAGCTTTTTGTTTGAAAAACATCTCTTCAGCCAAGCAAAGGTTAGCATACCTCTTTGCAATCTCCCTCTCATTAATTCTCAGCAAGTCATCTGTAGGGTTTTGGTCAAGTCATGTCTGACAATGTGCAAGCTCCTCTTTACATGCTGCAACCTTCAATGAGATATCACCATAGTCATTTCTATTCAGCATTTTCAATGGGTGCTTGAGAGCTCTCAATTTCTGAACCACACAAAACATTTTTGTGCCCTGGACCTGCAGCTACCAGCCTTGTTGAACAATACCAAGAAATTTGTCATTTGTAGCCCAGAAGTTGAAAAATCTAAATGGCAGGTTCTTCTATGGACTAATTAAACCAAGTTTAACCACCATTGGAGAGTGGTCAGATATGCCATGGGGGAGGAAATCAGCTGAGGATTGTGGGAACTTGCACATCCAATCATAGTTGATTAGCACTCTATCAAGTTTCTTTGAGATGTTAGCTGCTCCAAAGCTGCTATTTGTCCATGTAAAGAAAATTCCAGTGTATCTTAGGTCTTCAAGCTCATTTCTGAAAACACAATTTTTAAAATCCTCCATTCCCTGAGACCACCTTGGTGCACCACCAAAAGCTTCATTAATTCCAAGGGTAACATTAAAGTCACCCATTAGGATCCAAGGGACTCCAAGTTCATGATGCTGTTTGAGGTTCCTCCACAGAGGCAACCTCTCTGTGTGAGTATTGGCAGCATAAACCAATGATACAAGACATCTAACCTTGAGGTCATTCAACCACACAGCACAATTAAGCACTTGACTGTTCTCAGACATGACAATTAAAGACAAAACAAGAGGATTCCATAAAACCCACACTCTTCCCATTGCTGAAGAAAGGTAATTACACCTAATGTTCCAATTAGGGGCAATAATCTTATGAATTGTATCCATATTGAGTGCACTGACTTTTGTTTCTAGTATTGCAACCATGCTTAAGCTAGAATCCTTGATCAAGTTTCTCACCTCTACTTGTTTGGGGTGAGAGTTCAACCCCCTTATATTCCATGCTGCCCAATTCATTGAGAGGAGCTAGTGAGCTTGCATAACCCCCTAAACCCTTTGAGAGTAGACACATTAGACAACTTTGGCTTAATGATCTTTGGCTTCTTTCCTGTCTTGGAATGCTTACCAAGAGAAGGTTTCCGGGTTTTCAGGGCTTTATTGACAATTGGAGAGAAACTCTTGATTTTTACTTTTGATTTAGGTCAACAAAATTGCATGCAACTGTTGTTACGAAAGCACAAAAGCAAAAGTTTTTTTTTTTTTTGTTTAAAATTTTTAAAATACCCATTATATATTGTTGCCCCACTACATATTCTTGTCCCCACTGATATTTTTATACTCAAAAGAAAGTAAAATAATCTCTTTACCTACCCACATTCACGGTAACTAGAAGCCAGGTATGAGTAATCTTTGTCCAACACCTACACATGTTGGACACAACCCTCATTACATAAAATAATTAACAGTTTTTGTTTAAAAAATAATTATTAATTGTGTAATTGATTCAATTGTATAGTTCATTAAACGCATAAAAGATTTACTTTATAATTTATTAATTAGTATGATTTATGAAATTTTCATTGTGACGTTAATGAAAAATAACATTATTCTTAAAATACGTGTGATATATATAGTGTTTATTAGTCATTGTGTCTGTCTTTGCTGTGTCTGTAACTTAATTTTTTACAATTTATTGTCTCCTTATATCCATGTATATCGATCATCTCATGTCTGATGTCTGTGCATCTCATGTCTGTGCCTGCACTTCTTAGATGGCAATCAACTCTCTCTCTCATACAACCTCGACTAACGGCCATTTTTTATTATATCATCATATCAGTATATGTGCTATGTATAAATTTTGAATTTGGCAATTAGTGAAAACAAATTATATATAATAATTGTTATATATCTGTTTCTAGTAATATTTATTTATTTCCAACTACAAATTATTTGCAAGGCTGATGGAGTCAAGAATGAAGTGAACGAATGGGTTGAAAATGCAACCAAAGGCCTCATCAAGGATCTTGTGAGCTTCTTTAATCCAGATACAAGGATTGTCCTAGTAAATGCTCTCTACTTCAAAGGAATTTGGGAGAGCATATTTGATAAATCCGAGACCAAAGACAGAGATTTTCACCTACTCAATGGAGAAAAAGTTTCAGTCCCTTTTATGACCAGTGAGTATGGTGGTTCTGCTGAAGCATTTTATGGATGCTTTGATGGTTTCAAAATTGTCAAGCTCCCGTATCAAAAGGGCGAAGACGGAAGGCAATTCTCAATGTACATATTTCTTCCCATGGAGGGAGATGGTTTGCAAAAATTGATACAGCAGTTGGAGTCTAACCATTGGTTCTTGGATCAGCTTTCCAAGCTAAAACAAGTTATACTTGCTGCCTTGTATATTCCGAAATTCAAGTTCTCGTTCGAATTTGAACCTTCGGAGCCTATTCAAGAACTAGGATTGATTAGGCCTTTCTCTCCTCTTGGAGAGTTCACAGAAATGTCAAGTTGTCCGAAGAGCGAGGACTTTTGTATCTCGAGGATTATTCAAAAGTGTTATATTGAAGTCAATGAGGAAGGGACGGAGGCTGCAGCTGCTACAGAACGTGATGATATGGGTTGTTCTCTTTTCGACAATCCACCTCCGAAGCCAACCTTTGTGGCTGATCACCCTTTCATCTTCATGATCAGGGAAGAATCATCTGGGGCTGTTTTATTCACTGGAGCCGTAATCAATCCTACTCTCTAGGAACACTGATTCCCTTTCACCCTTTCATCTTCATAGAGTGTCATTACATTCATGAAAGTGAGACTCGTATGAATTTGAAGGCTGTGAAGGTCGATTTTTCATTTCGGTTTAATTAGAATGATCGTTTTACTTGTATATTACATGACTGTCGGGTGAACAGAATTGCTTCTAATAATTAAATCATGATATTCTTCAATCATGTTTATTGCTCAATTTTTTTCAGAATTACATTCGTGATTTTGTATAATTTTTTTTTTTTTTCTTTTTCTTTTATCAGTGATTTTGTATACTACTTTATATTGGAACCCAACAATTACCTAATCTATATATTTTTTTTTTTTTTTTGAGTCAGTCAGTATTATCCAAACATCAAACAGTTTTGCCAATGAAATTTTGTACAAAAAGTTGCTTTTTAAAAAGTGAAAATCATATTAAAACAGTTTTCAACCAATCACAGTGGCCAAGCACTCCTCAACAAGGATAATAAATAGCTCCAATTTGTATAGGTTCAAGCCCTACACTTCTTGAATCTAAATACTAAAGAAAATGGGGAGTGCTAATATTATTTTTCTCCCAAATCCACCAACCCAACAGTTTTAAATGATTATATCAACCCATATATATCTTGTTGCACCACACTGTATAAATGCATTGTTAAGCTCTTAGCAAACAAGATTAAGCTCGTCCTACCTCGCATTGTAGACCCTGCTCACTCTGCTTTCACAAGTGGAAGAAGAATTGATGACAACATACTCTAGCTCCCCTAGATGTGCTATAAAGGTTGATCTCAAGAAAACATTTGATTCAGTCTCATTCCTACTACTTATTGGGTTTCTAAATCAATTCATTCACTGGATTAGAGTCTGTGTCACCTCACCTTCCTGCACAGTTTCAATCAATGGTGAATACCATGGTTATTTCAAGGGTGAACAAGGACTAAGGCAGGGTGACCCTCTTTCACCATTTCTGTTTGTCTTCATAATGCAGGCATTCTCTTCTATTCTCAACAAGATGATCCAAGCCAACCCAACATTCAGATTCCATTGGACATGCAATAACCTCTCATTATCACATCTCATCTTCATAGATGACCTCCTTTTTTCACCCTATTTCTGTGCAGGTTTTCAAAAATGGTCTTGATCAATTTTGCCTCTTAGCAAGGATAAGCATCAACAATTCAAAAAGCCACATTTTATTTTCTGGTGTGAGCCCATCACTTGAAGATAACATTCTTGCCGTTCTTGGTGTTGAGAAAGGCACTCTGATCCTCATTTCAACAAGACTAAAACCTGTGGATTGCAAGATACTGATTGAAAAAGTCACCAACAGAATTAGAAATTGGACCAACAGATTTCTCTCCTTTGCAGGAAGAGTCCAGCTCATCAAATCTGTACATACTTTGCAGCATGCACATATTCTTGGCATCCAAATTCATCCTTCCAGTATTTGAATTTGGATGAACTTAATTGTATCATAGAGAAATTCCTATGGTCAAGTCAAAAACTGAAGAAAGGAGGTACCAAAGTAAAATGGTCAACTGTCTGCAAACCTATATCAGCTGGTGGACTGGGTATTCTCACCTACAGACATGGAATAAGGCTACCATCATGAAAACAATTATGGCACATTCTATCTCCTCAATGTAACTCACTATGGGCTCAATGGGTTAGAGCTCATCTCATTGGAAATAGATGCGTCTGAACACTGAAAACACCACAACCATGCTCATGGAACTGGCGTAAATTACTCCAACTCAGACATGCCACCAAGCCTTTTGTCAAGGTATATATAAATTGGTAACGGTGACAACACTCATTTCTGGCTAGACAATTGGTGCTCTCTTGGCCCTTTACAGCAACTGATCACAACAAATGAAGCCATTCTGAACACACAACTGGACCTTAATACTAATGTTAGATCCTTCATCAATGGAACATGCATCATGGTCACTCCCACCTTCAGTACTTGCCATCATCCCACAGCTGAACAACCACAACATACTTCCACTTCCCAGGCCAAACCAACTTGATTCAATCATGTGCCTACCATCACCCAACCGTAAGTTCTTCACCATGATCGAACTCACTTGGCATGGTTCAAACATGGCATCCCCAATCACAACTTTATACTCTGGGTTGCAATTCTTCACAAATTACGATCACAAGCCAGTTGCACATTGGCACACTCCAAACCTGTGCTGCCTCTGCTCTATGTACCCGGAATCCCATGATCATCTCTTCTTTCGTTGCTCCTTTGTATCACCCCCTTCTGGAACTTTTTTACAAGCACGTTGCCTATTACACTAGGCCCTCTTCTTGGAGACAGTTTATTGCTTGAGCAAGCCAAAGTTGTTTGGATAAGAGGGAACCTTTTACTTTAATTCATTTTATATTAATTAATAAATATTTTTTTATATTAATTAATAAATACTAAAACACTGAAAATTACCTATTAATTTTAATTGGTAATTTATTTTATAAATATTTTTATTTAAATTATTTTATTATTTTATATTAATGATTTGAAACATCTTGATTATGTTTCAAATCATAAAATAAATCTTTCAATTAAACAATTACTTAATTTTAATTGGTAATTTATTTTATTAATTAGAAAGATTTAGATCTATATTTATATTTAGGAAAGAGTTAGAAATAGAATAAAATAGAAAAAGTAAAGTTGTTTAACCTTGAAGAATTCCAATCATAATAAGATTTATTTTAATTGGTAACTTATAAGATTTATTTTAATTCGTAACTTATTTTATTATTTGGTAAATTATTATATTATTTTATCTATAAATAATTTGAAACATCTCGATTGAATTTCAATTAAATAATTACCTATTAAATTTTAATTGGCAATTTATTTAATAATTTCAAACATATTGATTGAATTTTAATTAAACGATTACCTATTTAAATTTAATTGGTAAGTTATTTTATTAAATAATTACATATTTTATTTTAATACGTAAATTGTTTATTTTATTTGGTAACTTATAGGATTTATTATAATTGATAACTTATTTTATTATTTGGTAAATTATTTTATTATTTTATTTATAAATGATTTGAATCATCTTGATTGAATTTCAATTAAAAAAATATCTATTTCATTTTAATTGGTAATTTAATGATTTGAAATTAGCATCTTGATTGAATTTCAATTAAACAATTATCTATTTAATTTTAATTGGTAATCTATTTTATCATTTGGTAAATTATTTTATTAAATTATTACCTATTTTATTTTAATACGTTGTAACTTGTAACTTGTTTATTTTAATTGGTAACTTATAAGATTTACTTCAATTGGTAACATATTTTATTTTTTGGTAAATTATTTTATTATTTTATCTATAAATGATTTGAAACATCTTGATTGAATTTTAATTAAAAAATTACCTATTTAATTTTAATTGATAATTTATTTAATAATTTGAAACATGTTGATTGAATTTCAATTAAACAATTACCTATTTAATTTTAATTGATGATTTATTTTAGTATTTGGTAAATTATTTTATTAATTTTAATTTTACTTAAAGAATTACTTATTTAATTTAATTTTAATTGGTAATTTTTTTTTTATTTGGTAAATTATTTTATTAAAATTCATTTTATTTATAGAAACTCTTTTACTTTAATTCATTTTATTTCAATTAATAAATATTTTTTTATATTAATAAATAAATATTTAAATACTATAAATTACCTATTTAATTTTAATTGATAAATTATTTTATTATTTGGTAATTATTTTATTAAAATTCATTTTATTTATAGAAACTCTTTTACTTTAATTCATTTTATATCAATTAATAAATATATTTGTATATTAATAAATAAATATTGAAATACCAAAATACTAAAACTCATTATACTTTTAATAATAGTATAGATATAGATATAAATATAGATTTGCTCAAAAATTGTTAACGTATTACCATATATGTATTATATTTGACTTTTTTTTAGGATTTATATTAGGCATAATTATGTATTATATGGTAATACGTTAATAAAAATAAAACACTTAAAAATCCTAATTGCTTAAGGAAATTAAACTGCTCAAAATTTAATTTTTTTTTTTTTTTTATATAAAAAGAAGAAGAAACCTAATTACTTAGGAATACTAAATGCCATAGGAAACTGTCCTACGTAATGTCGGTATACCAAAAAACAATTAAAAAAAAAAAATTAGTCCACTAATACTATTGCTAGCTTTTTAGTATTTACTTTTACGGGTCCCCTCTAAACCTCCAAAGGAAGGATTAAATAAGAAACCCAAGCTTACAATAAGTAGACTAACGCTGGAATAAAATGAAATGAAATGTTTATTCCAATCATTAATTTGTTAGGTGTACAAGAATGAACTAGAATGACTATTCCATTAGAATGAAAATTCATTCCTTAAATTACTAAATATATGGGAATGGCCATTCCATTTCATAGTAAGATTAAATATTTTTGTAATATTTCCAATAAGCCCTTCATCACATTCTAATAAGGCAAAAAAATTTTGCATGGACAAAAAAAATTCTTTTGCATTTCATTTTTCACGTTTCTTGAGTTTCCTTATTAGACGTGTTAAAGGTTTTTCGCATTCCCTCTCTTCTAAATATACCCAAGGCTGCTATTAACCAAAAGTTGCAGGACTTTCAACCAAATAGCAGGTATTAATTTCTTTATCTTCTGAGTATATCACTACTTCTTCTTCTTCTTCTTCCTCTTCTTCTTTTTTTTTTGTATCTTTATGTTGATACGTTTGTGTAATTTCTCCCTTTTTCTCTTTTCAAACATTTATATATAGAGCAATGATAAGGTAAATTAAAAATTAACAATCATTTGGAGTCAAAAATAATATTTTATTTTATTTGAAGGTTTTTATTTTTTTCAATGGCAGTATTGGACATCTTATTACATTCCATAATTCATTTTTAGAATATTAATTAGATTGATTTTACTAAAATGTAAGCCAAAAGGGTATTTTTTTTAAAAAAATCATTCAATTCCAGATTTAATTTAATTATGGTTAACCAAACAATAGAATGGAAATAATCATTTCATTACCATAACGATTTACCATAGAATGGAAATAATCATTTCATTCCATAACGATTTACCGTGTCACACCAATGAAAAGAGTAATATTCCATTACCATTCTTATTCCATTCTTGCACACCAAACGTAACCTAAACCCCTATATATAATAAACAAACCACTCCAACCAAAAGTTTACAAAACCCTAGAAGTGGTATTCACCAACAGAGAAGAGGAGAGAAGATCATGGAGTTCTGCTTAAAGCTAGCAAACCAGTTCGTGCTCAAGCAAGCCAAAAGTAGTAATGGCTTGGTCAAGAACATTGCCTGCTCTCCATTCTCATTCAACGCTATCCTCAACATGGCTGCGGCCGACGGGCGGTACCCTAGAGCAATTTCTTCACTATCTTGGTTCAGAAAGCTTGGAATATCTCAACTCTAAGACTGGGACATTAATGAGCCTCGTAGGATCTTCAGAAGGTCTTGTCCTGTCTTTTGTTAGTGGGATTTGGATGGATCAATCTTTTCCTCTCAAGCCTTCTTATCAAGATCTTGTTCAAGGTCTTTACCAGGCTCAAGCCAACACTGTTGATTTTCAACACAAAGTAAGTTAATTTCCTCCATAGCTCTCTCTATGCATATATACATACACATGTTATTACCTCTTTTTCTTAATATAGTTTGTTTTATGTCAACCGATCATCAGACATCATGTGGCCGAATTGAAGCAAATTCTAATTTCGTGCAACCGAGCCATTTGTATTCTAAATTCTATATATCATCTTCCTCTGAAAAAAAAAAAAAAAAAAAAAAAAAAAAATCCCTAAATTCTATCACCGAGTCGGTTCGTCTATCTACTCCATCAAACTCCTTCCACCCAACCGATGACAACGTGTTGTATCTGCAACTAACTTGTGGGCTTAGGGCATGCCCCTTAATATATATATACATCTTTTTTTCTTTTGATACAAACTATATTTATATATATATATATTCATGTCCATGTCTTATCTTTTTAATTTCGTTAAATTTTCGTTAATTAATTTCCTCCATAGCTCTCTCTATGCATACAAATGGTATTTCTGTTTGTTTTATGTCAACCGATCATCAGACATCATGTGGCCCAAATGAAGCAAATTCTAATTTCATCCGAGCTATTTGTATTCTAAATTCTATATATCATCTTCCTCCGAAAAAAACAAAAACCTAAATTCTATCACCGACTCGTCTATCTACTCCATCAAACTCCTTCGAACCAACCGATAACAACCTATTCTTTTTTTCTTTTTTTGGTCCGATCCTTGTACGTGTTGTATCTCCACAAGTAACTTCTTGTTCATGCCCCCTTAATACTTGTACATCTTTTTTCTTTTGATGGAAACTATATTTACCCAAAAATAAAAAT